ATCATTATTTAAAAAAATAATTATAAATTATTACAAAGAATGAACTGATTTGTAAACCTGTTTGTGTAAACCAGAGGCTACTAAAGCGAGAATATTAGTTATCAATTCGAAATTGTTTTTCACCAAATTTTTTCTTTTTTTTAATAAAGTAATTTGTTTCTGAATATCGTCTGTTTCGATACATTAATATTAAATATTGTTAATTTAATTAGCTGTTTATAATTATTATATTGTCTATGGAAAGTCTAAGAATTTCTAACCTATTTCATGCAGTTCTGCAGAAAATATCAATAAATAATTTTTGTGAATGATAAGAAAGTAAGTGAACAATTTATAAATGTATATACTTTGCAAGACAGTGAGGAGAATTTAAAATACATAATTACAAATTAAATGAAGAATATTTCTATACATTTAGTGAAGTGAAATTCAAAACCATAATTAAGAATCTAATTTAAAAACTTATCTTGTAAGTAACTATAGATATAAATAGTATGTAATCATTAATTAAAAATTAATTATAAATTAATACTAAGCATTAACTGATTTGTAAACCTGTTTGTGCAAACCAGAAGCAACAAGAGCGAGAATATTAGATATCAGTTCGAAATTGTTTTTCATCAAGTCTTTCCAACTTTGTTTATTCGATACCACTGGGAAGTGGTTAACGATAAAACTAGCGGCTAAATCTTTCAGTTTCGAATCACTATGACATTCGGCTAGCTGTAAAACATAGCAGACGATATTAGCAACATCTTCAACGGAATCATCAGAAGAAAGTTTTGATTGCAACATATCAGAACAAGATTCTTTCAGAATAGGCACATCGTATTTATCTCCTAGCGAGTACAGGGACATAACAGTATCTAACGGAGTACTTTCTATTTCTCCTGTGTAAAGGTACTTTAAAAATTTAACAAATGGAGATTTAGGACAGTCAGTGATGGTGATAGAGTTGGTTGAGGATTCTAGGCAATCATGTTCCATCATCTTCTTAAAAACAGGTGAGCGAGCACAAAGTATCAACTTATGAGCACGAAGGATATCTTCGCCAATACGGATTTCCAGATCATACAAGTCTCCAGAATTATAGAGTGATCCCATGTCTTGACTCAACTCTTTTAGATAGTGCTCGTTTTTCGGAATCAGATCTAAAGCTCTATTACTTTCTTTTGCATCCTGAGCGGGGATATTTATATTGGAAAATGGAGATGCAGAATGCAGATCTTCTTGTAATTTTATCGTAAGTTTAAAAACATAATGCTTGCAATTAAAAAGTATTGGATGCGATGAATGAATTTCAAATATTTTCATAGATGTACCAAGCTCAAGGTAGAGGTCAGGACAACTTACTTTAAATCTAGAATCGTCCTTATCTATAAGACATAGGGTAAAGATCATTTTCTGTCCACTTCGTCCTTCATAACCATACAGAAAGAGAAAAAACTTAACAACACTCTGTGAATTATCAGGCACTATTGAGAATTGTCCGGCAGAAATATTTTGGTGTGGCAAAACATTCTCACAATGTCGTTGACTTCGATATGACTTGTTAAAAACTATCGCTTTAAAATCCCACTCATACAAAATTTCGTTTTCGCTAAGATTTTCTTTCTTAAGTCCACCAATTAGTTCCATACCTTTATCTTGTTTTCTGAAATATTTATTTTTTACTGTAAGCAATCAACCAAACAATTTTAAGCCGTGGAATGAACTTTATCAGAAAAATAAAGATACGTTTTAAAATATTCCATTAATTGAAAGGACGAAGAGCATTATCTGCAATACAATCGCATGTCACATGAAACAGTGAGATAATTTCAACGGATATCACAATTTGCTGATACCGAACACATTGGACATTGCCCGTGTAAGCATAATAAGATCAACATTTCTAAAAATCAGCTATTTGTCACAGTCAGTTGCTTATTTCTTTTAAATGCATTGTACATTAAAATCATGTTTGTAATTTATTTTCAAAATAATTAATTAACAAATAATTTCTTGATAATAGTATTTCTGATAATAATACAGATTATTTGATATTCCTTTTAAACATAAAAATTTTTTAAAAAATTAAATAAATTAAGATGATGATTTATTGACTTTTTTCAACAAGAGATTTAAAAAAATTCTTTTAAAGTCTTACTTAATAACCAGTCTTATCCAGAGTATTTGTTTTCTGATTCTAACTATTTGTTACCTGATTTTTTATACTTTTTGTCAGCACTCCAAATAATCTTACATTCTCTTAAAACATAGATAAGTTTAACATTTTTAAATAAACTAAAATGATAATTTTGTGAGCCTTGAATATATTTTTCTTAAAACTCTGGTTATTAAGAGGGTAATTTCTTTATTCTTTTGAAATTTTTGTCTTAATTCACAAGAAAAAAAAACGATATAGTCAACTGCAAATGTGTGATAAGCTTTCTGAAAGAATCACGTATTTAAATATTTAAAATTTTGAACTTTAAGTTTGAATTTTTCCTATATTTTTAGAATATGATACTGATTTCAAGCTATTCTTTTATTTAGTTTTATTTAATTTTTAGGCACTTCTTATTCCTTACTTGGAATACTATTTTCGCAGGCTCTGTGCTAAGTATAAACCTTTTAGTGTTTCAGATCGTCTTTCCAACTAATATCCTAACACCACCAAACTCAACTGTAACGAATAAAATAACTGACAAAAAATTATCTTTTGAAAAAACATTTATTTTTAATATTTAGCAAATGACTTTTCTGCAAAAGAAGGTTTGCTTGTAATAATTCATAAATGAAATAATTCATTATTCCATGTATATTTAATCTTTCACAACTACTTTCATATATTTCTACAGAAAACAAAACAAAATTATACCACAATTAAAATGAGCAAAAATATACTTTTCTGCAAATTTCGATTTCGTTAAAACTTGTAAATTATTATAATTCATTATTTTATACTTAATATATTAACGCTTTTTCTACTAACTTCATATTATTTTTTTTATTAAAAAAAACACATTTTGAAGACATTAATAAAATGAAAATAAATATTACCATATGGTTATAAGTAAAATTCCCTACATCATGTTGCTCGTATTAATTTAAAATTAGTACTTACGTTTTTAATAAAATAATATCTAATGCGCTAGTCACAACTATAATCGCATATAAGCAATTATTAAAACTAATTTAAGATCAATATAAACTGTATCATGCATATCTACATATTTTCTTAAAGAAGCAAATAATTTTATAAAAAAGATGCTATGAGATGCTTTCTTAAATACCTTTCTTAAGATGCTTTCTTAAATACCACTGGAAAATGATTAACGATAAAACTCTTAGATAAAAATTGCCATTTCGAATCAATTTAGCACTCGGCTATTTGTGAAACATCAATATTGATATTTACAATTTTATCAACAGACTCAGAGGAAAGTTTGTTTCGTAGTATATCAGAATATGCTTCTGGTAAAGCCTGAACATTACATTTGTAACCTAATAAATAGAATTACATCATAGTATTTATAGTGTTATCACAGAGATTCTATAATAGAGATAATAGATATGTAATAGAGGTGCTTCCACTACATTCAACGGAAAACCAACAAACAGAGTCTTGTGAAAATAGATTTTATGTTTTTTGAATTTTCAGAATTTTATTTTGGGAAGAAAAGTTTAAAAATTGACCATCGATACAATTAGTTATCACAAGACATTTTTGTTTATATAATTAAAAAATCAATGGCTACTTTTTTATTTCATTTCATTAGGTTCTACAAGAAAATATTTTTAAGGCATTTATTTTTAATATTTCATATTTTTATTCACGTATATCACATTAAATTTTCAGTAATTAAACAGAGAAATGAAATGTTATAATTCTCTTTGAAATTTTAGTATTCTATTATTATTAGCATTTTATTATTAGTATTTTATTATTACTAGTTCCATTATATTAGATACTATTCCATTAGAATTAGAATTATATTATTGTTAGTCTATTATTAGTAGTATTCTACTATTATTATTATTAATATAATTATTTTTGCTCTTAACAGACCAATTGTTTCAAATTTGGCCAATTTTGTACGAAAATTTACCTATAATAAAAAATTTTCTCGGTGAATAACAGGGGATTGTTTGACAAATGAAACAAACGGTCTTAGGCGCTTAAATGCTCTGTCATAAATAATATTTGAAAAAATCTTGTGGAGATATCGTACTGTATTAAACTTTCAAACATTTTTGTTTGAATGCCTTGAACTTATTTTTTAATAATTTATTTTACATTATATTTTAGACCCATATTCAGAAACCGTACTAAGTACAAAGGTTATGTGTGCTTACATTCCTGTATTAGCACGAATTCATCTTTAAGGGTTTTTAGTTTCCATACATATTCAGATGTAAGAAACCTTACTGATTCAAGTAAATGAATATCTATGAGTATCATCTGCTTTGATATAGTTAATGTAACTGATTGAAAAAAAAACTATGAAATGATAATTTAATTTTAAACAAAAGTTAAATAAAGTAATATAATTATCAATTTTATGGCTCGAAAAGTTTAGCAGCACAATTTATTTCAGACAAGTCCTTTTTTCTTTTTTTTTTAATAAAGTAATTTGTTTTTGAATATCGTCTGTTTCGATACATTAATATGAAATATTGTTAATTTAATTAGCTGTTTATAATTAATCGATTGTCTATGGAAAATAGAAGAATTTCTGACCTATTTCATGCAGTTCTGCAGAAAATATAACTTAAAATACTTTTTTTTGAGGGATAAGAAAGTAAGTGAACAATTTATAAATGTATATACTTTGCAAGACAGTGAGGAGAATTCAAAATACATAATTAAAAACTAAATGAAGAACATTTCCACACATTTAGTGAAGTGAAATTCGAAACCATAATTAAGAATCTAATTTAAAAACTTATCTTGTAATTAATTATAGATATAAATAGTATGTAATCATTAATTGAAAAATAATTATAAATTAATACTAAGTATTAACTGATTTGTAAACCTGTTTGTGTAAACCAGAAGCTACAAGAGCGAGAATATTAGATATCAGTTCGAAATTGTTTTTCATCAAGTCTTTCCAACCTTGTTTGTTCGATACCACTGGGAAGTGGTTAACGATAAAACTAGCCGCTAAATCTTTCAGTTTCGAATCACCATGACATTCGGCTAGCTGTAAAACATAGCAGACGATATTAGCGACATCTTCAACGGAATCATCAGAAGAAAGTTTGGATTGTAACATATTAGAACAAGCTTCTCTTAAAATCGGTACATCGTATTTATCTCCTAGCGAGTACAGGGACATCACAGTATCCAATGAGCTACTTTCTATTTCTCCTGTGTAAAGGTACTTCAAAAATTTTACAAATGGAAGAGTAGGACAGTCAGTGATGGTGATAGAATTGGTTGAGGACTCTAGGCAATTATGTTCCATCATTTTCTTGAAAACAGTTGAGCGAGCACAAAGTATTAACTTATGAACTTTAAGTATTTCGTCACCAATAAGGATATGCAAATCACACAAGTCTCCAGAATTATAGAGTGATCCCATATCCTGACTCAACTCTTTTATATATTGAACGCTATTCAACATTCCTCCAAGTGGAATTGAAGATACGCTGTCTTCTTCCTTGGTATGTTCAAGAGAAGTATTTACAGTTGAAAATGAAGGCGTGATAGTCAAATCTTCATAGAACTTTATCTTAAGTTGAAAAGTGTATGCATCACAAGTAAAAAGTATTGGGTGCTGTGAATGAATTTCAAATATTTTCATAGATGTTTCAAGACCGAGACATAAGTCAGGGCTATTCACATTGAATGTAGGCAAGTTTTTATCCATAAAACAAGCACTAAATGTTATTTTTGGTCTATTTCGTTCCTTATAACCATACAGAAAAAGATAGAACTTCAGGGCATTTTGGGAGTTATCAGGAATGATTGCCATTTGACAAGTATAAATATTTTTGTATAGTAAAATATCGCAATATGGGCTCCGATACGACTTGTTAAAAACTACCTTTCTAAAGTACCACTCATATATAAATTCATTTTCACCAAATTTTTCTCTCTTCGTTTCTCCAATTTGCTCCATACTTTTTTTTTAATTTTTCCAAAAGTTTATTATTTTATGTAAGCAGTTTTATAAAGCGGAATATGCTATATCAAATGAATAAAGATATGTTCAAAAGTATCTCACCGAAGGAAAGAATGAAATGCTTGGTTGAAATATTATGATATGTGAAATATTGCGATAATCTTCACTGTTATCATTACTAACTGATATAGAACAAGAATGAATTTTTCCGCCCCAGTATAAGATAAAGATTTTTGATGTAATTTAAAAAACCCGCTGTCGTCACAGTAACTCGCTCTTTCTGTTGTAATGCATAAATCTATATAACATTAAAATTATGCTTGCTATTTATTCATAAAATATCAAGTAATAAATCATTTCTTGTTTTTCTTTACCTGTTTTTTATATTTTTGATTATAAACCAAATAATCTTACGGTCCTTTAAAGCGTGAAAAAGTATATATCTTTTAAAAAAATTACGATGATAATTTTGTAAACTTTGATCATATTTCTATGAAAAACTCTAATCAAGTAATAAATCCTTTCTTGTGTGATACAGTAATAAATCTCTTGTTTGATACTTGATCATATTTCTTGTGAAACTTTGATTATATTTCTATGAAAAACTCTAGTTATGAAGTCTAAAAATTAGGAAAATTTTCACTGTTTTGGAATATTTTTCTTAATTCACGAAAATTTTTTTACAATAAAATACCAATGTTTGAGGTACTTTTGCACATTTGACATTAAAAAAGCATAAAAGCATATAATTGAATGCTTAAAAATGCAAGTATATGTTTAAATTTTGAAATTAATTTGTACTTTGATAAGATATTGTGATATCAAGTAACTCTTTCATTTATATTAATTTAACTAAGAACTTTTTTCTCATACAAGGATACTTTTCCTTGCTTTGGATACTCTTTTTGGCTTTAAGATAGCTTAAACTATTTAGTACTGTTTAACAGTGTATTTCGTGGAAAATAATATAATAGTTAAGATAATTATGAAATAGTAAGTATGGAATGGTAAGTATAATTATAGTGAGTGTGGAAAAAAATAATTAATTTTTAACGATTAACGAATAACCTTTCAACAAATATCGATTCGTTTATAACTTACGTATGAAATGATTAATAAAGCTGTAAAACTAATTCGTTATTTTATATTTAATATTATAACTTTCTCAAACTTCATAAATTTCTAGTAAAGAAAAGTATGAAAAGACAATAAAATGCGAAGTATACTTTCCAGCTTATCATACTTACTTCATCTGCAAATTTTGATATCTCCATTACTCGTAAAATATAATAATTCATCAATTCCTAAGAAATATTAAAATTTTCAGAAAACTTCATATGTTTTTCCAAGAAGAAAAAGTATGAAGACATTAAAATTAAAGCAAATATAAACTTCTTTACGCAATGTAGATAGGATTGTATTGAAACTAACAATTTTTAATAAATTAGACATCTCATACATTATTCATAACTATAATCATACGTAAACCATCATTATTGAAAACAAATTTCAAATTAATGCAATTTGTACAGAGTATCTGTCTTATCGTTCTATGAAATAAATGCTAACTTTGCACTTTTTGTAGACCAGTAGCTACAAGAGCAAGAATTTTAGATGTTAGTTCAAAATTGCTTTTCATCAAATCTTTCCAATTCTGTTTCTGGGATACCACTGGAAAATTGTTAACGATAAAAGTCTCAGAAAAATTTTGCAATTTCACATTACAATGACACTCTGCTAGCTGTAAAACATCGCAAATGATATTGGCAACATCATCAACAGGCTCAGAGATAAATTTGTTTAGCAGTATACGAGAACACGCTTCTGGTAAAGCCTTAACATTATATTTTTCACCTAAGGAATAGAGTAACATCATAGTATTTACAGTGCTATCTTCTACCTCCCCAGTGTAAAGGTACTTTAGAAATTTCTTAAATGGAAGAGTAGGGCAGTCAGTGATGGTAACAGAATTGGATGAGGACTCTAAACAGTCATATTCCATCATTTTCTTGAAAACCGGTGAGCGAGCACCAAGTATCAGCTTATGAGCATGAAGAACATCTTCTCCAATTTTAAATTCCAAATCACACATATTCCCTGACGTGAATAGGCATCGCAAATCTTCAACTAGTTCTTTTGTATATTCAAAATTCGAAGCACTTCTGGCTTTGTTAAGGCACACTGCATTTGTTGGTTTCTCGCTGAATGTATTGGAAGAGTCTCTATTAGTATAACCAAGATTCTGCGTGGTTATTAGCTCTTCGTTTAAACCAGTGGAAGGGTCTCCTTTACTTTCGAGAAACTTCGTGCTCGTAGTTATTTCGTTGAATGAAGAAGATGTTGTGATATAGTCGAAAGACGTCGTGCTTATTGATACTTCGTTGAAGGAAGTGATAGCACTCGCTTCATTTTGTATGCTTTGAAGAGAAATATTTCCGTTTAAAGTTTCAGGTAGGAAAGTCAAATGGCTTTGTAACTTTATCTGAAGATTAAATACATAATTAAAACAACCAGAAAGCATTGGATCACTCAAATGAATTTCAAAGATTTTCATAGATGGCTCTAGATCAAGAGACGCTTCATATACGTTAGACTTGCATAAAATGGCTTTTCCATCCACAAGAACTGCACTGGAAGATATTTTTAAACCACTCTCTTCTTTGCAACCATGCATAGAGAATGTCAATACACGATGTATAATATTAGGCTTCATTTCCAAGTAGCAGCGAGCAATTTCTTTGAGCTTAAATTCAAAATAGGGACTCCGATATGTAAAGTCAAAATTAACTTTACAAAAGTGCCACTCGCATGAAAATTCATTTTCAGAAATTTTTTGGATCTGAACAGTTCCAATTGTTTGCCCCATACTTTTTTAGTTTTTAAAGATGTTTATTTTACGCCGCAAACGATATTTTAGAAAAGGGGAATATTTTTTCAACACAAAAATAAGAAATTTGTTCTGAATTTTGAATACGAATGCATGCATTCAGATAAGTTCAACTGTTATCGCGTATCATGTGTTATTTTGAGATAACAGTAATCCGGTATGAGATAATAGCAATGCGCAATGGTTTTCTAAACGAGTAAGAGAGGGAAACGTGAAATAAGAAAAATAATTAACATTATATTAAAATTTGAACTTTTCATAATTGTAGTAAAATAATTTATTAGAAATTAATTCATTAAAACATTCATACATTAATTAATTCATTAAAACATTAATTAATCAATTCATTCATTAAAATAATTTATTAATTCATTAAATTAATTCATTAAAACATTTCTTAATAAATTATTATTATTACTTAATTTTTTTAATCTAAAGGTTACATTGATTTTTGATTCTACTGTTAACTTATAGATATTAATCATATTTATATGTAAATATCTGTATGTTAACAGTAAAAAAAATCGCAAAAAGGAACGGATAGATTTTGTAGTTATTCAGGCATAAAATAAGAAAAAAGGCAAATTATGTTTTTTTTATTTTCAACTAAAATGTTCCATTTATTAAAATTATATAATATGATAGTTATTTTAATTGTAATCAATGCTGTAAGAATGCCTTCCTTCAGCAATATTTTCAAAAATGCTTCTTTTTTTCAGCGTGGTTTTTTTAAAGATCCACTCACTCTTCAAATATAGAATAACATTTTTAAGGGTTACTTAATGTATTAGAAAATAACACGAATTTAAAATAATTATATTTTAGGAAAAAATGCTTCAGTGTGAAAATAAAAAAAAATATAAAACCAAAAATATTAATTGTTTTTCTGTTTTTGTTTTATTTAATATAATCCAAACTTGCAGAAAAAAATTTGAATCGTATTATCTGAAATAAATATATCAAAACGAGTTCTCAAATTTTAAACAATATGAAAAAATTTTTGACTTCAGAACAATTTTAAAATAAATTGGCTTACATTGAAAATGTTCTTTTTTTTTTGTACATATAAAAATACTTTCGCGTACAAGATTATTTTGTAATTTTAGCGAAATGAAGGCAAATTTTAAATGTTTCGTATAGTTAATATGAAAATTTTTTGCCAACTGTTCAGTAGTAGTAAAATGCAGTCTATTGTCTGCTGCAATTGCAGGAATATTACACTGTAAGAATTCAGGATCAAATTGCGGTGTAAATAACCAGCATCATCCATATAAACCATCTTACCGTAAGATCTATTTCTACTGCAAAATATTATACCGTAATTTTTACAATAATATTTATTTACTTAGAGTGATAGAGTGATTTTGAGGTAATTACTGAAAAAATTACTATGTTTCGTAATCTCAAAGTGTCCCGGTAGCCTTTTTGAATCTGAGGAATTTTGTTTTTCATTTCTCCTAGCATGTTTATCACTTTATTTATTTTGAAAATTAGAATCAAAAGTTAATTTATGAAAAGTGTGGCATTGCACATCTGCACCCAATTCTTGCGCTATCAAACACTATTTTCAATCAAAACCAATCATGGCCACTGAATTTAAATAAAAAGCAGATAAAAAAGTAGTTAGTTTTGAGACTTTTACGAAGTTTAAATAATTACTTTGAAATATAACAAAACAAAAGCGCTAATCCTGCATAACGATCTGCAAACCAAATAATTATTTTGATGCTCTTTAAATTTAAAAAAAAATAGTTTTCTTAAGTTTAAATAACAGCACAATTTTTTTTACTCAGCTTGAAAGTATGTTTCGAATGATGGAATTCATTATAAACTCATTTACGATTTATGAACAGGGATTTATACTAAATTTATAAGTAAAGTAGTTTGAGGAAAGTTCGGGGGATACTCATATTTCTAAAAAACTTAAAGAAAAAGTTCAATAAGAGAGTTTGAAAAAAGTAACTTTTCTGTTACTTTTATAATTTGTTAAAAGCGAGTCATACATAAAAATAATTCGTATTTCTAAGAAACTAAAAGAAAAAGTTTATTAANTTGTTTATTCTTTTGAATGTATCTTGTTTTTCCTGGACCTCTATACAAAACCATCGGGGTACTGAGGGAGATATTTTAAGCTTTTGCTTCTCCCTCAAATAGAAATGGTTTTGTTTTTAATGGCTACCGGGGCCGGTACCCCCTGAAGACGTCGGCTTCGGTGGTCATATTTTTATTTTATTTCATTTGTTTTGTATTGCTAAAAGCGAGTCATACATAAAAATAATTCGTATTTCAAAAAAACTAAAAGAAAAAGTTTATTACGAGAGGTTGAAAAAAGTAACTTTTCTGTTACTTTTATTATTTGCCAAAAGCGAGTCATACATTAAAATAATCGTAATTGACTTAGGTCATTTTATATACTGATTTTGTTAAATTAAGCGTCATGAAAGCGAATCTAGTATTAAAATACATGTCCATAAAAATTATTTCGTAAAGATAATTTCATAAATAAGAGCAATTTTTGTGATAAATCACGGGCAATATTTGCTCGAATATCATAGAAATTATTAACGAAATATGTCCTAAATTCTTTAAGAACATGTAAAAGAGTTTACAGTATAAACAGTTTGGGCATATCTTAAATTTAATTCCGCATTGATTGGTTTAACAAAATGGTACAAAATCTGTATTGTTAACGTGACATCCTTAATCGAATATCTACAATCCTCATGCATTTTAAAAAGTAAGACATTTCGAATGCCAAGTTCTTTCACACCGTATTGACTCCGATTCATACAATTCATATGAAAAGAGAGAAGAAATCATTATCCTTTCACCAGCACACTGATCTATAAAGTGAAATGATCCCTTTTCACGCCAAGGATCATCCTCGCGATACAGTTGGTCTGGCAGGTAGGTCAATGACGTCATTCTCAGATTTCCTTCATATAAAGGGGAATGGGGTTCCACAAATCCAGTTTTCATTTTGAATCAACATGGTTGGATCGACGTGGATAGTTTTCGCAGGATGTTATATCACTGCAGGTAAGCCAACTATATGTTTAAATTCATAATACTAAAAAAAAATCATGAAGATTTTTACAAAAGAATTGCTATTTTCGGGCGGATGACCTCTTCCAAAAAATTGACATTTGTGTTTTCAGATCACTTAAGAAATATTTTTGAACAGTTTGGAGAAGTAAAATTTGATGCTTTGAGGATTCACTACAGAAAAGGCGCATCAGACATTTTAGTTTCTCTAACTTAAACTTTAACCAGAAATGTTTTGAAAAACTTTTTTCGTTTTAAGTTGGATACGATTTTAAAAAACTGTAGTTCATTGACATTTTTAAATAGCGATGATATTTATTAAATTAATATTTCCTAGTTATCCATTATATTCATGCCTTCTAATTTACTTCATTTAGTCTAAGTAATTTATTAAAAAATCCATTATCAAATTTTGAGGACCATATGCAATTCACATCTATTTATAATTCTTTACTGTACACATCTGCATCTGCTATTTCAAAGCTGTATAGAAATAACTCATGAAAACTCACTGTTAAAAACTTAAGAACTTAATATCCAAATAACAATTTTATATTTCATTTTCCTTAATCTTTTCTTATTCGAGTTTATCCTAAATAATAATTACTCTTCATTTATTTAGCGTAGTTCAGGAAACGATTTTGATTTCGGTTGGTAATGCTTGATGAACGTTTTCTATAGGATCTGATCTCCCTCTATAACAATCGTTCTAATTCTTCGTTTATTCGAAACAAGAAAATAAAAACAGTATCATCAATTTTTCTAGTTATTGTTTTTGATATAGTTAAACACATTTTTCGTTACATTTATCAACCTTCTAAGCAGATTGTCGCGTTGTATTTAATTCTTATAAATAATGTTAAAAAATGCATTTAAGGTATATTTAACATCAGTTATTTTTCATATATTTTTCTATTATGTTATTTTAAATTAAGATTTCTTAAAATAACTGCTTAATTTCGATTAGTATTTTAAACTTTTTCACATTCTATAAACGAAAAAATTGCCTAATTAACCCTTTGCGGTCATATTTTGTTGTAACTCAATGGGAATTAGTGACTGAGAGCAAACATACAACCGCAAAGGGTTGAAATTAATTCGTAACATAAAATTTGATTTTGTAATCTGAATTATTTTAGACTACAAACTTGTTGACGATAAATAAAAGTTATTTAAAGCATTGTATTATAAATGTAAAAAATTTAAATGTATGTAGAATTTTGCTTTGTCTTTTTCCACGGTATTATTTTATACTTTTGAATTTTATTTTCAAAATTTTAAATAAAAAATTTAAATAAGGACGAACTCTTATGAATTTTAAATAAACTATTTTGCTTTATCAAAAACCAGTAACTATATTCAACTTTCTTGTTCATTTGAAGTTCATAATGAATGATAACATGTTCCAAGTTGAAAGTTTATATATATTTGTTATTGTATGATTTTATTCATTAATTAGAGCCAGAATACAATCAGTATTATAATGCACGCAAGAAATGTCTAGTAGTTAGGTTATTGTTTGCAATTTAGGATCAGAAATTATTGCTCCACAATTCAATGGTCATTTTCTGCTCTTCTTGCAATGAGTCATAATTTTTTTATTGTGATTTGCTTACATTTTTTTTAAAAATTAAATTAAAATTTAACTAGTAAGTTATATAACAAGAAATTTGATATCGAGCGAATCCAACTTATATGACCCCTCACATAATTTTAAGAAAATAACTTCATTTGGATGCACAAATTTCATTGAATTTGCAATTATTGGCTTATACTCATGAGTTCATCTTTACTAAGTTGAACATCAACAATACATTTTTAAGAATATTATGTTCCTGATTCTTTTAATTTTTTTTAATTTTTTAATTTGTTTTAGTTTTTTTTAATTTTGTTTTTGTAACATTTGTAAAGATAAATTGATTATTATTTGCTTAAGTTCAGCTATATAAAGCATACATAAAACATTACTTAAGTTACCTGAATAACTTACTGGATACAGAGTATAATAATCCTGATTAATCCATAAATCCCGAAAAACAATTTTAAATTCTTGACTGTTTTAATAAAAACTAACATTAAAGTTAAATGACTGAAAGTAAACTTATTCACGCAATGTACTATCTTACGCAAAAATAGGCTGAACAACCTATGATGTATGCATGTAGTTTGTTGTAATACAATTTTTTCAACTGATCTTTATTTAATTTTTTAATAATAAAGTTTGTGGGTCAAATAAATATAAAAATTAGCTGAACAGCTAATTGCGCATCATATCATTTCATTGAATTTGTATCATAATAGACGCAGATGCAGATATAAACTTATAGATGTAACTACAATTAATCATAATTTAATCGAGTTCATTACTCCTGTTTTACAATTTTCAAAGTAAAAATTTTAGTAAGCTTGTTAATATACCTATTAAATCTTTAGTATTTTATTTATTGTTATTTTTTTTAATTAAATCAAAAAGTTATCATGACAATTTTGAGAGTTGAAGCTTAATAGAGTAAAAACAGATTTACAAGAAAACAAAAGCGTTGTAATGAAGCTTGTATAAAATTGCAGGGTACATAATTAGTGCTTAAAATAACACTGAGATATAAATATAGTGATCAGAAAAAATACTTCTTTAATCCTTTCAAACAAGCTCAACTAATGAGGACTTTCCTCTTAACGAAAAGGCTTATTTTGTGAATTTTGAAAGTGGCTTAAAAAAACTGTTTGAAATCAACAGATGCATATTTATTTTTCTTTAATTTCTCAAAGAAAAATAACTATAACGTATTTTAAAATGTAGATAGTAAGAGACTAAAAATACAATAAAAAGATAGAAAATATTTAAATTTCATCCAATATTTTTTTATCATGTGTTTTTACTAAAATTGTAATTAAATTGTTTCATAATATTATGCCAGTTAATTTAGACCAAAAAATAATTTTAACTTGTTCCGATATTGTGAATCTTAATGATGATAAAGTACTACTGCTGTTTTTACCGGCTTTCAAATGGAATGACAGTACTAGCGTTGTAAACCTTGCTTAAGTTTAATACACCTTTGCAGTTAGACATTTTCGTCTGAAAAATATTACAATTTTATTGACTTATTTAAACCATTTGTTTAATTTAAGATTGCAGTAAGACGTGCTTTGTTCACTATTTATTTTTCGCTGCTTAGGAAGTTCAAAGGACTCAAAAATGTTTCGAGAAAGTTTGGGGAACTAATATATAATAGATATTAACTTTTTTTCCCAACAGCGAAATATTTGTAAGAATATTCATTATATTTCTGGAATTCTATATCCATATTTCTGAAGTGAAATCAAAAATCTAAAAAACAAGATTTACTTAAAAAATTAACTTGAACTTCCCCCGGCGTAAACTGATTGTTTCTCAAGAAACTTCTATTTACATATCACGTACAAGTTTTTTGTCTACAAACAGTAAACATTTTTAAGAGAAGTTTTCTCTGAAGTATTGACCAAATTATACAAACTTGCTTAATAATTTGTTTTTAACTAAACCAATTTATAAATGATTAGTAAAAAATATTCCTTTACAAATCATGCACAGGCTTTTCCTCCACGAATATTAAACAATTTTAGAAACAGTTTTTCTAGGAAATAATCTCCAAATTGCTTAAATGAGGTAAATAATGGATCGTAAAAATATATTAATTTATAAATGTTTTATGTAAAGCTTCCATTTATAAGTCCCGTATAAAGTCTTCCTTCACATTCAGTAATTTCGAAATCAGTTTTCTAGCCAGACATTAATTTGATTTTCTATTTGAGTGAAATTCTAAAACTCATTTGAAATGTTACATAAATAGTTTTTATTCACATATTTCGTATAAGTTCATCCTTTATTTTTACAAATATTTAACATAGTTATAGTAACAGTTTTTGATCGAAATATTGACAAAACTGTTTGATTAGGGCCTATAAATTTATTTTACACTTGTACTAATACGTAAATATTTTAAAGAAAGTTTCAACTTTGTTCTACATCAATAAAAATATTCAAAACCTCCGATAACAGTTTTTGTACTATGTGGTGACCATTTTGTTTAAAAAAGCTTAATAATTTTAACTAAAAATATGCATTTATGTAAATTTATCTGGAAAGAACTTTAAATTTTAAGGAAATAAAAAGATTTCCTATCTAAACATTTAAAATTTTTTACAAAACCTTTTTTGAACCGAGTACTGAATGAATAATTCAACACACATGTGGTCAATAGTATATATTAAAATATACTTAGTTATGAATTTTTTGAAAAGTGTTTTAATCTACAAATTTATAAAAAGTCTCAATTCCAAAAATTGTACCATTTCAAAAGCCTTTATTTTACTGATTATATACAGTATATAGAATTTTTATTTTTATAAATTTGAAAAATTAATTCAAAGATATTCATACATTTATATACAAAAAACATTAACTCCAAATTATAAAACGAAGTCTTACTAAACAATGATTAAACTAGACTTCTTTTAGAAAATATGCTTCCTTAACAGAATTCGAAGAATGTAGAATTTTTTTTCTTTAGGAATCAGTTACCTAGTTAATAGTCAATACTTAATAGTGAATACTGTTACTTAATAGTACAAACTTAATATTAATAATTAATTGAACTTAATCGTAAATAAATAACAGCAAATTACATTAAATTTACAAACAATTAGTACTTAATAGTTAATAATAAGTAATAGTGCTTAGTTATATTACTTCATATTTTCTTATGGTATTAATAATGCTTCTAGTGTTAAGTATCAATTTTTAATATTTCGTACTTAATATTCAATACGTAAGTACTAATCAGTATTCCTTAAGCAAAAAATTAAACCCGACTATCTTCTTTTTGGAAATATTTTTCCTTAAAATGCATTTAGGTTTCTCTTTTCTTTCTTTTCTTCAAGAATCAATTACCTAGTTAATAGTCAATGTATACATGAAAAAAAACTATGTAATAAGACCATAAAAATAACCT